TATTTTTTGTCCAGACATTTAGCGCAAAGATACGTTCAATGCTCTGAAAAGTTTGTTGTCACCGAGAGTAGTAATGCCACGCTTTGACAGTGGTGGCACTAAGTGTCTTGGAGACAAAATATAGCAGTGTCCCAACCCTGACGACTTTCTCTATATATATACACATATATATATATATATATATATATATATATATAGGTATATATATTTTTATAATAAATAAAAATCCTGAAGTTATTTATCAAACAATAATTTTATTAAAGCAATTATTATTTATAAAAATGCAATCTCTCAGTTCGAAAACTCGAGGACATGATATAATTTTTTAAAACAAAAAAATATTTAAAAAATGCAATTTATCACTTTAAAAACCCAAGGACATGTATATAAAATTTTCAAAACAAATAAATATTTCTAAAAATGCAATCTTTTACTTTGCGAAGTTTTATATTATATTTTTATTAAGGATATCAGAATGGCGCATACGAGACTCGTAAAAGATCTTGGTGCACCCAATCATCACTTAACCCCTATATAAAAAAAAGAAAAATTGGAGGAAAACGAAAGAAAAAGTTGAGAAGATAATGAAATAAAATAAAAGATCTTTAATCGAACGCTCTCAGTCACCAAGCAATGTATACAAAAAAAAAGGAAAAAAAAATTTTAAAAAAAATTTACAGAATTTAATGTTTTTAAAGCAAAGGAATAATTCTAAAAATGTAATCTGTCACATCGAAGACTTGAGGACATGTAAATAATTTTTTCAAAGCAAAGAAATATTTCTAAAAATGCAAACTCTCATTAAAGATCTTTAATCGCACGCTCTCAGTCACCAAGCAATGTATACAAAAAGAAAAGAAAAATAAATTTAAAAAAAAAAATTTTAAAAATTTAATGTTTTTAAAGCAAAGAAATAATTCTGAAAATGTAATCTGCCACTTCGAAGACTTGAGGACATGTATATAATTTTTTCAAAGCAAAGGAACATTTCTAAAAATGCAAACTCTCATTTCGAAGACTCGAGGACACACATATAATTTTATTAGTGCAAAAAATATTTCTAAAAATTCAATCTTTTACTTCGAAGACTCAGGGTCACGCACATAATGGTATTAGAGTAACGAAATATTTAAAAAAATGCCATCTTTCACTTCAAAGACTCGAGGACATGTATATAATATTTTTGAAGCAATAAAATATTTCTAAAAATGTAATCTTTCATTTCGTATACTTGGGGACACTC